CCGTCTCTCTTTCTCTCTATCTATCTATCTATCTATCTATCTATCTATCTATCTATCTATCTATCTATCTATCTATCTATCTCACACACACAAACACTTTCTCTCTCGCTCACTCGCTCAATCACTCGATCGCTGTCTACTTATCGCTTTTGTTTTCTTTTTGTTCCATTCATCTTAGCCTTCCTTAGACATTAAACACAGAGAATGATAAATATAAAGACAAAAACGAAGTACCTGTATGCGCATGAAACAAAATATTATAGTCACCTCGACCCTGTATAACTAAAATTGTAAAAGGTTTATAATTTTTTTAACTCTCTAAGACATACATCCGATCAGCAGAATACCATAGACATATTTCAAAATCTCAAACACAAATCTGAAACCCGAATTTGCATGTTTAATAATATTATGCGTGTTGATGCTTGACTTTATAAGTCCCAGATTAAGAAAATAGAATGAAAAAAAATGTATAAGTATCAAATCTAACCGTTTAAGTGCCCCCCAAACAGTCTTCAAGCGTTTTCGAATCACTGAATGCACATGCACGACCCAAAAGTGTTAGAATAGAAGAGTATTTCCTACTTAATTCTACATTTCGAAGATTCAGTTCAAGTAGCTCGTATGCAACATAATTTAATGCCTAAAGTCAACCTTTTTTGTGTCTAAATTCGATCCTCACATCGAAAAGATATTATACGACGGAGAAAGATTTGAGGTCATTCGAAATCAAATAAGTCAATTTTAGACAAATGTGTCATACAGGTTTCATGAACGGAAACGTTGGTTTGTTTTCGAAATGATTGGTCACCGGCTACATTCTGAATATCCCATATTGCAGGAAAAAAGATTGTGTAGATTCCGTTAGTATTTATACAATCTTCTTGGGAAACTGATTTCTCAAAGTAACATTGCTAGTGTGGGATGTCTCTACCTCAGAATCACAAAGTTCTATCTGCCCAGTACTTAGTTTTGCTAAATTTGACGTCTAAACGTTTGAGTTTTACAATATGTCAACCTTCCTCAAATCAAAGATAGTACAAGACAAGATGGGCCACTCAGCCTAAAAAGTGTCCGCAGGAAGTATGCTCTTTGCTTCAGATGGCGCTGCAGTCTGTTTTGAAGCTCTCTTTCGTTTTTCCAGAAGAAGAATAGGAATAGCACCTCCTTGCGTGCGCAGATCGACTGCTG